TGGCGCCTCCTCACCCTGAATCTCATACTGATAGGAGGAACCACAGAGCTCTGTTAGGTTAAAGCTCATCTTCTGAAGTTGGGATATTTTTTCTCCAACGGGTTCCAGAGGAATCACCTCAAACCAGATGTTGGACTGGATTTTATTTCAATGTCATTTGTTAATTTTAGCTCATCATTTTTAACAGTGGAGCTATAAAGGTTGAAAAAGGTTATTATTTTGGAGAAAGACTAATCAACATCAATATTTCCACTAAATAAGAATCAAAATAAATTGAGAGGAAAAGACTCTCAGACTGAGCTCAAATCAAGATGCCAGAGAGCAATAAAACTATTATTTTTTATTTAGACAATTTCACATAATTATGGCGGTAGAAGCCATTTGTTTGTTAAATACTTAAAGAAACATATTTACCGTGTTTGATGTTTGTTGTAAATGACTTATACTCACAAACATCGAGGTAATTAGTCCAAGTTTGTCGTTTATTGAATGTTCAGAAACTACAGTGGCTGTGATGAGCCACAGCAAAGGTAAACAACCTGAACAGGTGATCAGCTCAAAACCACTCGCACCTTTTTACTCTCCGTCTCTCTTTCTCGTTTAAGCACACCCGTTTCTGTGGCAACCGCTCGCTCCTCGAGCACAGATTACGTTAAAAACATTTAGTCCGTTAAGATATCAGGTTTTCAGGCTAGATATTTATTTTGCGATTATTAATAAACCTCTCATAAACACAGCGGTGGTTGATTAGTTAATTTTAAACTCCTGCTCTGCTCGTTATTTTGGTAATGGAACCGAAACGCACAGAATTGTGCAACACCTTGTGGAAACAATAATTACTGAGATTATTATTTTTGTTGGGTCATTAATTTGAAAAGGTTTTGTTTACTTTTGTTGATGTTCTTTAATAAAGTTCTGAACGTTTTGATAGGAGCCAGAGGAGGACGTGCTGCTCTCAGCGTCCTGTTTGTCACCTAATGCTGAGATCGACTCAAAACCTTCCAAGATCACCGACGTTATTACACCACTGCTGTAGCAAAGCATGAACAGTTCAGAAACGATATGAAATTGGGGCGGGGGAGGGCTATTTATTAACTGATTAAGTAGTTTTTAATTGTTCTTGAAAAACCAGTCACGGTTGATTAGTGGGTGAACTCACGGCTGCAGTGAACCCATTGATTTTTGTTTTTACAGCAGACAGCCGCTCCTCTCTTGGAGGTACCTACCGTATCCTACTTTCACTCCTGCTAATGAGCYCGACAAGGTTGTGAAAAGGAAGTGAAGGTGGGGAAACATGGCCTAGATGTATTCAAGGGTCCAAAACRGGTGGGAATTTACAGTCACTTTATGTAAATGTTTTCCCAGTAAAACCACAAATTTATTGGGTTTTGGATGAATTTGTCATATTTCAAAACTTTGTAGAAAATCTKTACACTTGAAAATTATGCAATTTTTAATGCCACATAGAAAATACTGTTTGTACTTAAACAAATTTTCTGTCAACAAAGAAAGCAATGTCATTTTTATTTTATTTAAACAAGTTTACAAGGTGAAATACAACACATGTAGTTGCAAAGTCAATATCATTGTCATATGAAAAGTCACATCATATTCCTTTTTGAAAATTATTTTTGGTGAGGAAAGAAATACTTCCTCTGGCAAATACCCAAAACAAGACAACTATATTTGCACAAATTTTAACTATAATTTATGACTGTATTAACTAGGTGTGCACCGATAAACTGGAACTGACTTCCTTAAGTTTGGGATACTGGTATTGACCGAAACTTACATGTGACATACATGTTATATAAAGGTGTCATCTAACTTAGCAAAGTTGTAAAAATCAAATACTATCCCTCTTTAACTCTGCTGTGAAAGGTTTGACTAAGAAAACGGTTCACCAGGTAATGTTTGCATTTTAAAAGTTAATATTCAATTACTGCATCAAACTCATCCACTTTCTCATTATATTTAGCAACAATCAGAATACATTTTTTTCCCAAAGATCATAATCTGCAGATAATTATTTTTCTTTTCTTAAAGATTGTAATTTGTCGATCATCCGGAATTGCCATCGATGCACCTTTTACAATGAAATTTACAATGGCAAAATTTCAAAAGATTAAGACTTACTCAAGATTATGGGAGCAACAAAGCTCTCATTGCCTGAACAGTTTCAATATAAACTCCCAGCGCCTGCGTGAGAGGAACATCAGTGTTTGGCAATGCCGCAAGGTCTTCTGCGTTTAATGGGCGCATAAGTTGGACCTCAGGAATACTAACGTTTGAAGTGGATGGAGTATGTGGACCTTCCCAGTCTACATCATAGTCACCACCAACCTAAACACAAAGAATATGGTGAGTGTACATAAGCTAGTACAAAATGGGAGAGTACTTCAAGTTAAAAGTTTTACCTCCGAAAAGTCACGTCCTTCCTTCTCATTTAGCAGCCACAACTGCAAAGGTGTATGGTGGCTCGAAGTTCGTAGTCCATGGTTATTCCATGCCTCCTTGAAGCAGTGAAGGCCATGTTGAATATGTGGTATGAAGCATCTGTGTAGTGAATACAACTCAATCTCATCATCTGGATTTAGAATTCCCTCGGCTTCCATTTGCATGAAGATTGTGTAGTAGAGATCAAGCACGTTCTCATAAACATCTCTCCAAAGGCGCTCTATTCTGTAGGGGAATAAAATTAATTTCTTCTTTAGCACACATTGTACAACAGATTATATACAAACTTGAAGCTCTTCACAAATGATGCTAGATTGAGTATAAGTTCAGTACATTTAAGATAAAATGGTATGAACATATTAAAAAATTTGAAGAAATTGGATATTGATGTTAATTATCACAGACAAACTCTGGCACTGTAAATTATTTTTTTTTGCATTCAGTAGTAGTATTTTTAGGTTTAGTCTCCCAACCCCCTCATACCTCTGGTTATGCACACTTCTTCCAGTCATATGAGAATTCCTGTTCACTCCATTAGTTTGGACCATAAACTGAGCAACCAACACATTTTCACCCCCCTTGTCAGATCTGTAGACATGAGTACAAGTAATTAAAGGATAAAAAAAAAAGAACTAAATCCTTAACAAGCACAATGTAACAAGACAATGCAACCAGAAATTCAATATATGGACTTATAAATGATAATGCAGCAGTAAGTAATCCACATTACATATGTATCACATAAACATTAAATGCTATTATAATAACATAATTTAACTGAGAACACTGAATTACTGTTGAAAAATTAGGCTAAATATATTTCTCAGTCTCACATGTAGTTCCTACATTTGCTGTGTGATGCACTGTAGAAAAATGAGTGCAATACATACCGAACTCGAGAAGGTACACCATACTGGCCAACAGCAGATATGAAGCTATGGAGAACAGTCAAAGCTCTATTGTTGGTGGAAGCATCAAGGTACACTATTAGCCTGGAAAATCCATCTACTCCACCATGGACCACGATCCTCCATCTATGGAAAAAAGAAGCAAAAACACATACTTTCATATATAAATGACAGACTTTACATACACACAAAATATATATAGAGAGAGATAGAGAGAGAGAGATACTGACAAAGACTTTAAGAATTGAAACCTTAACAGGTATAGGAYGCTAAATTACCAAAGAAGGATATAACAACATAAGACTTAAATGAAAGAAGCCAAATTTTCACCTAATTAGCTTGTGATTCCCATCTATGTGCCACAGGCTGTTGGGAGCAGGAACACTGTACTGACGGCGCCTTGCAGTCTGGATGGATAATCGTCTCATCAAGATGGCCTCTGGATCAAGTCGACGCATTGATGCCCTTAATCGATGCCCTTTTTGAAATATGTAATCATTATAATGAATTGAACATTGCCAAAATCAGTAAAAGTAGAACAACAAAATGTTTTATGGACGGCTATAAAGAGAAAGATGTAGCTTTTTGAATCAACAACATCTACTAATTTCACAAATTATTCAAAATAATTAAATAACTATTTAATTGAGGTATACCCTAACACAACAATTCTTACTTTGAATCTTTATGCCCCTGGATCGGACATGGCCCATCATGATTTTGTAGCCAGCATTTGGATGAACACGCTTGATTTCCATTACCAAAGTGTCCAAATCTTCATCATTAATTGTCGAGTAAAGGTCTGATTTTCTGTTAAAGAATCATTTACATAATATTACACATTTTAAATTGTAAAAAATAAAAAATAAGTACATGCAAGAAATTACAACATGGTTGATACGATTTTAAGAACTTCAACATTTACAAATATAATATGAAATCAATTTTATTTGGATAGCACTAAATCATAACCACTTGTGTTCAAATAACAAACCATGGTCAAAGCAAGGAATACAATAAGGTTAAATACAAGTGTTTGGTATGATGAAGCAATCACCACTTAGTCAAACCAATCAGTTGAACCTAAGTAAGCAGAGGAACAGAATCCCCCATTATGAGCAAATGCTAGGGATTCCCATTTGATTGTTTCATTGCTACAAGTATCCTGCACTGTCAAGCTGACTTTATTCTTAATTTATACKCCACGTAACAAAAAGCCATTGGCAAAAATGACTTCCATTGGTTTCAGCTGTTAAGTTGTCAACATTACGCTCTAAATATTAACTGTACAGAGATGATGTATAAAAGAAAAAGGCATGCAGAGCTTTGTGCATTCCCAGCACTACCACAACTAGAKAAGGTCAGGAATAAGTGTTAAGAAAAATTATAATGTGGCTAGCTGTGGCAACTCATGAAATGACTGTTAAACAGGATGGAATGTACGTGTAGTTGTTTAACTTACCTTAAATTCTCTTGGGCTAATCTCCTCTGGATTKTCCTGGAGGAGACACCACACCRATCTGACATTTGTCGGGTTGGGAGACCAGCCATGGCAAAGGTGGTGAGTATTTCCCCAGGAACATCCAAAGGTGGACGTCCTGCCCTCATGCTTGAAGATCGGACATCTATAAAAAGCACAATGTACACCCTTTCACAATCATTTCAAAATGTGATGTTTCCTCCAATACTTGAATAACTTTGAAGCATCAAACAACACCATCTATCCATTCTCATCAAATATCAAAGCTTTGGAAATCGATTCACCATAGTATATCAGTTGTGCAGTGCAGCACTCTTTCGCTATGTGTGACTCTCTGTACATTAACTTGCAAACCCAAACATTATCAACAATCAATTGAAAGGGTATAACTTCTATCTTTATTCAACATTACAAACGTTACAAACAGCTACGCTTACAGGGCATGGATTGCTGTTGGTAGCTATTACATGCACAGTAATGGCATAAATC